AAAGTTAATTTATTAAAACAAAGGACTATGGTGAGTATGAAAAAATATAGTTCTATGTTTCCAAAGATATTTCTATTAAGTAGAGAAATCAAACATCCTAGAAAATATTAAATTACATCCATGATTTATAATTCAACTCAACTTCAATTATGTCAACTCATCTCCCTCAGAATACTATTATTTGTTAAGTTGAGCTACAAAGAAAAAACTACCTTCTCGGTTCCAATAAGAAGTGATGCATTTTCAAGAATAACTTATTATAGTGCTTAGACCATAGCAGCTATTCAAAAAATTACAAGTATTATCATTTCATTATTAATAAATTTCTTTTGAAATGTTCACCTTACAAACATACTTACAATGGTTTTTAAAGAGCTAAACTTCACAACACAAATGAGATGTACTCCCTATTGCTATGAATACCCACTTTTTTCTAGAACACAAACAAACAGTAAGGCATACCAGGGCCGGCAAGACCAATTTCACAGGGGCAGGCAAGGAAGCAGAGTAACGACGAGACTTCCTCACAGCAAACTTCTCAGTGGGGATAGATTTCCCAGCAATTCTCTGCTTCAAGCTATCCACCTGCCTGTGAAGAATCCCAGGGAAAGGTTAGTAGAACATCCTTCAAACCGGGCCAGCAGTATCCACATCACTGGGAAACCTAAATGCAAACTTTCAGGCTCTCACCCAGAAACTCCATGACTAGATGCAGAATCTGGATGGAAGGAGGCCGCCAGGTGATTCTGATGCACACTCAAGTTTAAGGGCCATGGATGGATACATATTTCTTTCTAGCTAATTCATTAAATGCTTTAATCTATCAAACATGGTCCAGGAAATTTAGATAAATCAGTAATTTTATGTCTACATTGCAGATCCTCAGAGACAATGAAGAGAGTATAATAATAGCACATTTCCTGAGACCACATACAAGTGTGACAAAGATTTATAGAATAATATGGCTCAAAAGATAGCTGCCAATTAATGTATAACTTGACAAATCATCCCCAAGCCAGGTGACTTTATAAATAGTAAGGTTAGGACATGTAGTATGTTTACAAACATTCCCTCAAAAATTCTCAGGCATTCCACTAGTGAAGTCACAAATACATAAAAATGAAAGCAGGATGGAGAGACATGGTATTCCTGGAGAACTTTCTTATATGTGACTTTGCAAATAGGTCAAACAGGTTATCAAAAAAGAATGAAGGGAAGTACCATTACAGCACTGAAAGAAAAAATTAAGAGGAAACAGGAGAAAAAGTATGCCAGTACAAGAAGTCTGTGAGGCCCTCCCTGGTGGCGCAGAAGGTTAAAGCACTGCAGTAAGAAGCTAAAGCCACTTCTGCATGAATTCGATCCCTGCCTGCCCCGGAGGTGACCACATGGCATGGCAGACCTCTGCTGACCCGCCCGCTGCTCCCCTCAGCAGTGTACTTCGTCAATCTGCCTGTTCTGCTCCCCAATCTGTCCCTGGTGAATCCTCTCACCCTCCGCATCTCTAGCCTGTACCCCAGTTCTGTATGAATAAATAAATAAATCTAAAAAAAAAAAAAAGAAGTCTGTGATAGTTATTTTGGGTACAATTTGGGGATCTTAAACCAGAATGCCTATCATTTAGAAATCATTATTACAGGGTCAGAAGCCTGTGTTGGACATGAAACCAGATCACTTAAAAGTCAGTGTCTAAATGTTCATCTAGGAGACTCTCTTCATCCCGTCCCAACAGATTAGATGTTGTCATTCAGCATCCTCAACCTTTCTTATCTCTTAATGAAGATTGGTTTTCTGTTTCACAAAAATTGTTTCACTATGGAGAAAATTTCTTCTAAAGTCAAGAACATGCAGGGTATATCTAGCGGCAAGGCGGCAAAGCGGGAAGGCAGGCAGGATGGACAGGCTGGGCGGCAGGCTGGGCAGGCCAGAAAGGGGGGCTGGGAGGCTGGCAGCAACCGAGTGTCCCAGCCCCCACGAGTGTCTGCGCTCTTCCTGTCTCTCTCTGGTGTTCTCAGTCTCGTGTCATCTTGTGGTCTCGCCTTGAGTCCTATTCGCCATGCCGCCACCTCTGCCTTCATCCCTCTTCTCCAGGCTCTGGTGCCTGCCCTTATACAAGCTCAGGCCCCTGCTCCCTGTCCCCAGGTCTCCACATGTATCGGTAGTGCCCATGCCCATGCCTCTCTGCCCCATACTGGAAGGTGGGAAAAAACCTGGTACTTCATTTACCCTGCATGTTTTTTAAACTTCCTTAACTTTCATCAGTTGCTGGTTGTGTGAAATGAGGAAATGCATTTTGCCGTTAAGAAGTGGTATTTATTATACCGTGGTTTTTGCTAATGTTAATGTTACAGGTAGTATACATTTTTCTGTAAGATCTTTTTCAAAAGACGAAAAAAAAAAAAAAGGTCCTGACCCTACCTTCAAATTTGTTCCAACAGTCCAATGTTCAACTAAGACATGTGGTCACAGAATACAGGGTTTCATTGAAAAAGTTTTGCCATTAATTATGTTTGAAGAATGTGGAAGGGCTTCTCCATGCCTTAACATCCTCATTTCCAATGGTCATTGTCCCTTTCTCTCTCCACTACACACCTCATAGACCACTTCATCACACCATCTACAACTTTTCTATCTCAGGGCACAAATTCAAGTACACTATCCTTTGAACACTGTCACCCTCATTTTAACTTAACCATTCTAATAAGATCCTAGTCCACTTGCTTTTCACGTTTTTCCCAACCCAGCAGTCTCCTTGTGTTCCCTCCCTGTAAACACTCCTGTCAGAATGCACTCTCCTCTACTTCTGCATGTTATGGCTGTTTCCTAAAGTCCCATATCCACTGCCTCCTTGCTGCACTCATGTGGCAAAAATCAGGCACTGTTCAAAGTTCAGTAGCCATCTTCCCTGCACCTGCCTGAGAGCAGACTGGTATTATAAATTCTCCAGATCCAACATCTGGTGGGCCCTGGTACTGCCTTCTATGCACTCTACTCTGTTTCTCCCATCACCACTCTGCAAATAATGATTTCAAATGCTCTCCATCCTGCCTAGATCTCCGGAGAGATTTCTTTGCTCCTTTAAACGTTCAATAGTTTCAGTATAGAAAGAGCATTGTGGCCCTCCCTGGTGGTACAGCGGGTTAAAGCACAGCACAAAGAAGCTTAAGTACTTCCGCATGAGTTCGATTTCGACTGCCCAGAGGAGATCCACATGGCAAGGCAGACTTCTCCTGACCCGCCCGCTGCTCCCTTCAGCAGTGTACTTTGTCGATCTGCCTGTTCTGCTCCCCTCTCTGTCTCTGGTGAATCCTCTCACCCTCCACATCTCTGGCCTGTACCCCAGTTCTATATGCATAAATAAATACATCTTAAAAAAAAAAGAGCATTGTGCTTACCTGAATAAAGTTATAATGTTCTCTTTAGTGGATTCTACATCCTCTTCTGGAAGCATACTCAAAATTGCAGCTTTCAAAAACACATATGTTGCCTGGAGAAAGAAAGAACAACAGCTAGTTATAAAATATCCCTGGTAATGACACTTCTATCTTGCAAATCAGGAGGTTCGGACAAATCTTCTAGATATAAAATTTAATAGGCATCAAATAAATAGAAGGAAATGAATCCTTAATAATAGCTTCTGAATAATAACACTTCGCTTTAGCCATTTTCCTATTATACAAGGATAGCCTACAGCACACACAGGTGAGAAAGTAGACAGGATGAACAAGAGATCATTATCTTATCTCCCAACTTCTCATAGATGCTTCAGACTCATTTTGATTATTATGAAAAAGTTTTGTCATGGGGGCATTAAAAAGCCTACAGAAAATTATCAGAACAATTGATACCCAGTAACTTTTAAATGTAAGTTCAGTTCATCTTCAGAGGTAAAGCCTCTTTGTCGAAACGAACTCTGGATGTGTCCTTTAAAGCACACAATGCTGAGGACAAGACTTATAAACTATAGGCACTTAATGCATGTATCTTCTTTTGATGGCTCCCAGGTTAGGAAACTGTGTTGATGTTATACTATGACCAAACAGTATGAAAACATTCTGGTCACTTAACATGAAAAACAGATGACTTTAATGAAAACGCTACACTTTACCTTAGACCATTTACTTTCTTTACAAAGCAGGTCTGAATAGTAATACGCCTCCATCCAGTTTTGTTGGTATACATGAATCCACATCAGCTCCCAGTAACAGAGATGGTGAAACTGTTTCCACTCTTCTTGAGCTGAAATGCATTTTCGAAATGTCTCTTGTGCCTATAAGTCAATTGCATAAAGCTGATCATCCAGATATTAGATAAGGAGATAATAACCTAATGGAAAAATACATAGAACACTTTGTACAAAAAGTACAAAATCATCATTCATTAAACCACTCAACATGATGATATATGTTCCTTTCCTTACAAGCTGTGATACAGTTAAGTTCTGCCCCTTCATTTGACTTCACGAAGGGATAATGAAATTTTATAACATGAGAGTAGGTAAGTTACTTCCCAAGCTAAGATATAAAATGCAGAAGTCCCTTAAGAAAAGTTTGACAATAAAAATCAGGACTCTTTAATATAGACATAACGTTTAAGATAAAGGGAAGACCATGAGAAGCTAATACTACACAGAGCACTAAAAAGATCAAGCCTTATCATATTTTTTTTTAATCCTTAAAAGACAGAGGAAAAACTGGCAAAGATACAAACTTGCAAATCAGAGGAAAAGATATACAAGTGACAAATATGCATATGAAGAAATTTTTAAACTGGAAAATATACATTTAAAAATCAGGCTATTATTTCTTGGCCAGCATATTTGCAAAAATGAAACAAAAGTAATGTCCATATGTGGCGAAGAACATGAAAAACAAGTATTCTCTTGCAGAATTTAAATGGGAACAATCTTAAATTAGGAGGGCAATTTCTCAGAATTTATCAAAAGGAAAGTATCTTAGACCCAGAAATCCTAGTTATCAGAATCTATCTGATATAAAAACACACAGCCATACAGTTTAAAACAGTATTGCTTATAGTAGCTATGGGTCTCACCAATAGTGAATACCATAGTAGTATAGTATATCCAACTCATAGATAATCAAATGAGTATATACATATAAAAATAATGAAGAGATTTTGAGATACTCACCTAGAAAGAGAGCCAAAATGTAAGTAAAAGAAAAAAACAGAAAAATACATTTGACCCCACTTGTATAGAAGAAAATTATGGGTGTATTTATATGAAATTATATGACAGGTTCCTCATTTTTCAGAGGACTAATGAATAATTTCCTTTAAGGAGGAATGTACATGTAGTATAATGGGTTTGTGTCTTCTGTGTAGACTAGATTCCAGTGTCATGCAATGCATTATGCAGTCTTACTTTTTTGACAACAGTCTTACTTTTTTGAAAAAGCCTTATGTTGCCCACTTGTATCACATATTCCTTTTTAAAAAAGATTTATTTCTTTATGCACACAAGAACTGGAATACAGACTAGAGGCATGGAAAGTGAGAGGATACCTGAGACAGAGTAGGGAACAGAGGGCAGGATAGGAGAGGTCTGCTGTGACATGTGGGTCCCTCCCTGGCTGGGAAACAAACTCGTGCTGCAGTGGCTGTAGACAGCTTCATAGTGCTGTGCTTTAACCCACTGTGCCACCAGGGAGGACTCTTGTATTTTATATATACTATCTTGAATTGCCTCATGTAGTTTATGTGTATATGAATTGCCTCATGTAGTTTATGTAAAAGAATGTATAGAAAAATTAAACTTCGACATTTAATTACATTTTTTCTTTCCATCTATCTATTGCATAGAGCTGAATTTACTTAGGCTAAACAGATGCAACTCCACCATATAGACCCCTCTGTCTCATAATGCCCCCAAGTAATTACCTCTTCCACATTCCCTTTTAGCAGCTGTATCCGGGCGTGATAAAACAACATAAGTGAGCCCTGTGGAGAGAGGAAGAACACACAAGTGGTCAACTGTCAACGCTGGTTGATTGACTATGGTTGAAACGTACACTTGAAATTCTAAGCATACATTTGGAAACTGCTGCAGGAAGGGCGCAAGGAGACTCTCTGCTTCCACAACATTCACTTCTCCTGTACCTAGAAAGTCAACAGGAAAAGCCTCAGTCTTCATGAAACAGGATAGATGTTTATAGCTACTTCTCTACCTCTTCATGGAAATGGTGGAAATTATTATTTTGTCATTTTTACACTTGGGGAATAAAATAAAACACCAGTCCCATGACTTAAATTTTGAAAAGCCTAAGTCTTAGGAACAGGGTTATCTGTTTTAGACCAAGTGGAATATCTGGTCTTAAAGCAGTATTAACTTATTTCAACAAAATTTTCATTTCTATGAGAGAAGAAATTTTAAATGAATATGCTAAAGTAGATGATTGTAAACCAGTCTTATAAAAATCTTTTAGCTTAGAACAGATTTTAAAATATTCAATGAGGCCCTCCCTAGTGGTGCAGCGGGTTAAAGCACAGCACTGAGAATCTAAAAGCCGCTTCCACATGAGTTCAATTCCCACCTGCCCCGGAGGTCACCACATGGTGTGGCAGACCTCTCCTGACCTGCCCGCTGCTCCCCTCAGCAGTGTACTGCGTTGATCTGCCTGTTCTGTTCCCCATTCTGTCTCTGGTGAAGCCTCTCACTGCCCCTGAGCCTCTGGCCTATACCCCAGTTTTGTGTGCACAAATAAATAAATCTTAAAAAAAAAAAATTCAATGAAAGAAACCCTCTACCTCCCCTATCAAGTGTTGTTATGACAAATTTAATCATTCCATCTTTATTCAAAAAAATGAAAAGTAAACGGATACAGACTAAGTGCTCTTAATGATTTGTCTAAACTGTTACTCTCTCGGGTAAAAGGGAGACAACTTTCAAAAGGCAGACAACTTTCAAAGAAATAAAAAGCAATCTAATTCTTACCAAGTATTAGGGAGATATAGGTATGAAAAGCTAGGATAGTTAAGCAGCACAGTGAAGACCTCATGCTCATTCCTGATGCACCTTCCCGTAACTGTAGAAGGCCCAGTTCCTATGGGAATTAATAGAATTTTTGAATAAAGCAGAGCATGATCAGCAAATGATACTCAGACACTTCACAATGCCAGTTCACATAGCACCAACCCCATGGAGGAGGGATTTACTTTTCAAGAACTTAGAATAGTTATAATACCTATTAAAAACAAACTAGCATCAAGCAATCACCTAAATTCTCTTATATCATGTGATTCTAGGGAGTGAAAAAGGCAATGCTCATTTCATACAAACTGTGTATTTCTCTGATAAGAAAAGTTAATTTATTAAAACAAAGGACTATGGTGAGTATGAAAAAATATAGTTCTATGTTTCCAAAGATATTTCTATTAAGTAGAGAAATCAAACACACGGTTTCTTTAGAATATGCTAAGTGTCATGAGAAAGATAAAAGATTCTGAGAGTTGGGAGTACGTGGGCTTCACTGGGAGTAGATAAGTGAAGTCATAGATGACATTTATCACAAACTAGATGGATGGAGAGGCTCTCAAGAGACACTATTTGAGATGATGCGGCTGGGAAGGACATCAAATCAAACACCAGCAAAGGCACTAAAACAGAAAAGCACAGGGAAGGCCTTTGTGGGGTATAACCAATATTCCAGTTCAATGGGGGTATGGAAGCCTATAGAGGAATTATGGGTAATAAGTCTGGAAACACTGGCAAGAATCAGATCATGGGGCCTCGATATAATCTGGATTTTATTTGGGAAGCTATTCAGAACCACTAAGGGAATAAAATGGAAGGTGAAAGGTTGAGAAGGGTCTCTATGAAATACAGAATTTGAACAGAGTATGTTATTAAGATATCATCATGAATACATAATGGCATATAAAGAACTTGGAGAATGTCATAAACAGAGGTTAAAAATTAAGTACTTCTTGTACTCATTCTCAGACATTTTCAAAGCTTGTCCTCTAGACTAACAGGGATAGCTTTTGCAATAAGGTAACCCTGGAAAAATCATATTGAGTGTTATGATTAATAAACGTTATATACTACAAAAGTCACAACACAGAAATATAATGAATAAAACTCATGGAAAACAAATTTCCTGGCTTACTTTTATAGTGTAAAACTTGTATAGTTTCCTAGAAAACCTAAAATACTGAAACTGTATTTGATCCATAAAAATCATAAAATGTTGGACATGAAAATCCAACCTAACTTGCTGCTTTCATAGAGGACTCTGGGTAGCAAAAATGCTATGGAAGCATATTTTAGTCATACAAGAGTACCAACGAGCAAGCAGCAATATTACAAAATAGAGTTTTTAATCCCAGAGTTTAGGTAACAAAGATGAAAATTTTAAACTTTCAATAGAACTACTATATCTATCTTAGGAAATATGATAAAGGACTAATATCTCTTTATTATACTGCAAAAAGGTTGTCAAGAATTATCACACTGGTTATGAGAAAATTTTCCATTACCAACACATTCAATAAATGTTAATAAGTAACTTCCCTGTCAAAATTAAGATAAAATTAAGTTTATACCCTATTTCCAGAAAATCCTATAAATTCTAGTAGCCTGATAATCCGTGCTGGTAAAAGAGACAGCATCTGTAAGAGAGAGAGAGAAAACAAAAAACACAAGAATACTGATTTATTATAACTATGTATAAATGGTCTACATCAAACCATTTAAAATTTTCACTTTCAGACAGCTCATGGACCTCTAGATGTAGAAATGCTTTAATATTTATATCTTTTTTACAACATTTTTCATTTTTGTGCAATGCATACGTGTATGCTTTCTCCTCAATGATGGTGATTTTATGGGGAGGATAAATTACCTGAGAGGATAAATTAAATATTGTAAAAAATGAACAATGTAAAAAATAAATAAATTTTAAATTTTTACTTTCAGTAATAGAAAAATTAGAACCAAGCTTACACTACAAGACCTGTCTCAACCACTTACTGTATGTATTATACTCATTGCTTGTGAATTGCTTTCATGTAGCTAAGATAATGAATCTTAAAATTAAAAAACTGGTCTTTTTAGGATACTCTAAAGATACTCCCTCCTTTTATGTGGAGTGAGGAAGTGCTGGGAAGGCAACCCTTTAGGTCACCCCAAGGAGGCTTCCTGTGACATCATTTCCTAGAGCATATGAGGTGCAGGAACCATGTAGAAGCAGATTGCTGCAGTGCTAGTCCTTTCTGGGACATGTCTGCAAAATGGTAAGAGGAAATCTTGCATGTAAACTTTTATTTTGCTTGGAACGAGAAATGGCCAGCTGTGTAATGGTAGGCTGATTAACAGGGCATCAGCCAGGGGTTTGACTGGATGGGTTTGGGAGGGAACCTGATAGGAAAATTGATGGCAAGGAGGTCTAGGAAAGAGGTGTGTGGCCAGAGCTCCCCCTGAAAGAGCAATCTTTGTGTCCCCTGTGAATATCACCAAAGGACAACATCTGCAGAAAAGGATTTTAAAGATCAAGTGGACAGGACTTGATTCTCTGGACATCAGCTGGCACTTTTGTCACTGGCCAGGAGGCTTGTGAACAGAAGAGCTATGGTGACATACACATTCCTGCATAGGGTTTCCTTTTACTACTTTGTTCTCATCAGTTAAAGTCCAATCTTAATAAAATTTTGATATCTCAAAATAAAAAAATGCAATTTGACAGATATTTCTACTCAAATTCTCCAACCCCCCACCCAGCATCAAAATCATTCTTCAAGTTATATCAGCTGCTGCCTCAACTATTTCAATCCCACAGAAACACTGCTATAGCAATAATGTTTGTTAATATCTTGTGATTCCATCAGCAGAATACAAAGAAACAAAGCAAGTGATCTAACAAAATGGAACAAAAACAGACTAAGGTAACAGAGAAAAGATGGGTGGTTAGCAGAGGGGAAGGAGGTAGGTATGGCTGAAATGGGTTAAAATTACACTTTTGGTGGTGATTATTATGTAGTATATGCAGATGTCAAATTATATGGAACAGCAATAATATTTCTGTAGTGGAAGTGGAGCTCCATGTTATCCAGAACAACACCATTTGTGCACAGTGCTACAGTCCCTTACTATACAATCCAAAACTAGTCTGAGCACACTCAGAATCTTACCACTTCAGTGGGTCACAACACAGGAAAGCTGATCCCACTCTAACTCCTTCTTAGTCAAACCCAGGCAGAGGTTCAAATGCACAACAGAAGCACTTAGATTCTTCAAAACTTTGGGTCCTTTTAACAAAAAATTCTGGTAGCTTTATAATTATCTACTTACCAAATTAAAGGCCCCTATTCCAAGCTTGACACCCCCTTCAAATTCATAGAAAAACTGTTGTTCGACCTTTTTGTTCTGAGTTACATTCAGGATAGAAAGACATTCTCTGGATGGGGGGAAAAGTTAAAGCACAAATTTACCATGCTGAAAATTAATGCTGTCCAATTTCACACTTTCACCCTATAAAATAAATGTCATTAGCCAAAATACTATGGAATTTTAAAATAAATGATGCTGGGCCAAGTTGATTCCTGAGGTTACTGAGTAATAATAATGAATAAAAGATGACGCACTGTTTATCAAGACCAGTCTTTCTGGGCGTAAAGCAAGAGAGAGTTCTAACATGACTCAGGCAAACTTAGGGCTTCACTGCAGTAGTTTGCAGGAGGCTTCCTGGACAAGCTCAGCTCCTCAGTTGCTGTGTATACTGCAGAGATCTATTTCTATGTGCTGAGAATAGATGAGTACTGCAAAATTTTCAAATATAGGGAACACATAAGTATCCCTACAAAGCTAGCCCCCAGAGAGATGGTCACAGTTGACAGCCTGGTACATAAACTTGTAGGTGATTTTACACTTTACTAAGATTACAGTCTTGAGCACATATAAATAAGCTCATATAGTAAGTACTGTCCTATAAGTGATGTTGACAATTTTCCATGAAAGCCACCTTATTTGTTAACAAGTACATATTACTCCATTCTGTGAAATAATTTATTTACCCCCCAAATTTTTAAAAATATTTGTTTCCAAATCTCCCATATCAGAACCAATGCTAAGACTGTTTTTGTACATTTGTGAAATACTTTTTTCACATCAAGTATCACTTAACAATAGGGCTGTGATGCATCATTAGGTTATTTTGTCAATGTGTGAATGCCATAGAAATCAATTATATAAACTGAGATGGTATAGCATACTATACACCTAGTCTATTGGGACCAATGTCACTTATTTACTGAAATGTCACTAAGCAGCACATGACTGTAGTTATACTATCCTAACTGTCCTTAAGAGAAATTCTTAGAACAAGACTTCTGAGATCAAATGTGATGCTCGTTCTGAATCTTGATGTGCACTAACCGAAAGAACATCCTCCAGATATTGATATTCTTGTATTGATGCAAAAATCTCAAAAAACTCCAATCAATTTAGACTCCCACTAACGTATGAACTCTCACAACCATTTGCCTGGAGTCATTTATATCACATTTCCATTTGTATTTTTTATTATTATATATTTGCCATAATGAAAACTTAATGTTTACTTGGTCAAGGTAATCTCTATGTTTTCTGGCTTCATGTCATCTTTTAAAAGGCTTCTGAGGCCCTCCCTGATGGCACAGCAGGTTAAAGCACAGCACTAAGAAGTTAAAGCCACTTCAGCATGAGTTCAACCCCCGCCCCCAAGGTGACCCACACAGCGTAGCAGACCTCTCCTGACCTGCCTGCCCGCTGCTCCCCTCAGCAGTGTACTTCGTTGATCTGCCTGTTCTACTCCTCACTCTGTCTTGGGTGAAGCCTTTCACTGTCCCTGCACCTCCAACCTGTACCCCAGATCTGTATGCATAAATAAATAAATCTTTAAAAAAGAAGAAGAAAAATAGGCTTCTGAAATAGATATCATGTATCTGCTGATATGATGCACGAGAAGAACACAACAAGAAGAAAGCTTGTATGGCTTTCTTGTATTGATGTAAAAATCTCAATTTTATCATGGAGAAACATTAGCTAAGTCCACATTGAGAGATGTTCTATAAAGTAACTGGCAAATATTCTTCAAAAATATCTGAGTCATGAAGGACAAAGACTGAGAGACTCATATCAAAAGGTTAAGGAAACATAACAATTAAATTCAACATTGGTGAGAACATTGGCAAGAAAATTAAAAATGCATCAATAAAGTCAATAGTTACTAATTTATATTAATGTTAGTTTTCTTCACTGTAATCTATAAGATTACAAGATTATAAGTTCTATAAGATGTTAACATTTGTGAATCTAATGAAAATACATAGGAAAATTCTTAGTAGAAATTTTGAAATCATTTCAAAGTAAATAAATTTTAGATAAAGAAACATTTAAAGAACTTTGGAAATTTTAGATATAGAAGAATATCAGAAACACCAAATTTATGTTAAAACTCCAAATTGTTAGCTGACCCATGAACTATGTGCGTACCAGGAAGACTTCAGAGAAAAACAGTAATGAGACAGAAGAAATATTGAGCCTAGATTTCAGTTGTTACCAACCACTAGACTAAGAGACTGAAGCTTAAATCTTCCTAGACCAAAAATTATCCTTTTTTGGGAAAGGTAAGAGAATCCTGAGTCTGTCCAATGAATCAATATCTAGTATACAATTAGAAAATTACTGACATGAGAATAGAAAATAATAAAGCGAATATAGCAATAGAAATTAACAGAAGGCCCAGATGTTGAAGTAATAACCAATCTGATAAAAATAATCTTTTTTCAAATACACAGCAATTTGGTGATCTACTGAACAACATCAGACTAACTAACTTAATAGGATTCTCAAAAGGAGAGGAGAAAGTGAGAATAAAGCAGGACAAGGTTATTTAAAGAAATAATGCCCACACGTCTCTTAAAGTTACACTTACGTGTATCATAGTCGAACTGCTAAGAGTTAAAGATATAAAAAGCCTTCAAAATAGCCAGAAGAAGACACATTACAAACAGGGTAGCAATAATGCAAATAACAGCTGACTTCTGCTATGAAATAACAGAAGCCAATTTTATTGGATTGACTGCTTTAAAAGAATGAAAGGAGAAAGGAAAAAGCCTTGTAACTCAGAATATTACACTTAGCAAAAAAAAATCTTCAAAAAGAAAGATGTCTTTAGATAAAATAATACAGAATTGTTGAATGCAGACATGCACAGTGCCAGAAAAATGGTAAAAGAAAATTCTCAGTTTGAAAATTTGCAAGAAATGAAAAACATTAAAAACAATATGAGTACAGAGAAGACTATAACATATAATTGTTGAAAGCAAATTTTTACATCTCATTGTGAAGTTTATAATATATGTCTGTGTGCTATCAATAGAACTGTTTAAAATAGTATAAAAGATAATGGTGGTAAATTAAACTATAATTTTGCCATCTTCTCATTTTATGTGTAATGGAACATTAAATTTATTGTTATAAATTAAGAAGAATACTACAACCAATAGCACGCCATTTTTTAAAAATTAAAAGAAAACAATAGAGGGATTGCAATGGAACTTGTGTGTGTGTGTGAGACACACATATATCTATGCACATAAAAACTTTACTAATATAAATGAAGACAGAAAAAAAAGGCAAGGAAACAAATGAAGCAAAAGAAAGGCAAACAGTCAAAACTGCCCATGTATCAATTGTCACATTGAAACAAAAAAACAAGGCCCAAGTATGTACATCAACAAGAAATGCAAGTTAAACATAAAGACAAAAATCGATTTCAAGTAAAAGAATGTATGCCATGTGCACACTAATTTTTTTAAAAACATGAATAACTCTAATAATGTAAATAAAACAGATTTCAAGACAAGGAAAGGTATAAGGAATTGAGTAGGAACACTTCATAATGATAAAAAGATCAATTCATTAGGAAGATAAAATAGCTGTAAGTATACATAAGTCTAAAAACAGAGGTTCTAAATATGTCAAACACTGACAGAATTAACAGAACAAACGATGACTACAGAATGAAGGCTGGAGATTGTTGACACTGCAGTAAATGATAGAGCAATTTGAAAAAATTAGTATGGATATAGAAATCCTGAACACCACTCTGGTCCACCTTAATTAAACGTTTGAATTGGTAGTGATAGAAAATTCTATTTTGCATTGCTACTTCTGAGTCTCAAACAAGACATACCTGTCATTTGAAATATACAAATTGTTTTTAGGAGAGAGAAACGACAATTATCTAATCTGAAATTATGTAAACAGCTTTCAGTTATTTTTTCAAAATTGTATTTAATATAAATTCTGTTGTCATAAGACATTGACTACAGAATCAGTATGCCACACATCAAATGCATTTTTACCAACATCAAAGTTTTTTTTTAAAAGTTGTCTTATTTAATGAGAACTTCAAAATACAAAGTGGTATGCTGTACCAGAATCATTTAAAAACTACATCCTAATTTTTGACTTACTTATATATTTGGTAACTTGTTCTTATTTTGAGTCCACCTTTGATGAAGTTGATCATATTTTCATCCTAAAAAACAATGTAATTGAATAATTAGCTCATTTAGCAGAAGACTCTTAAACTATCCCCATAGCTATGTATTTGTATGATTAGAAACAACCACTCCCTTTTGATGACATAATTTTTAAATTAAAATATTCTTTTTGTTTTACATTTGAGACTTTTATGTAAACTCTCTTCCAAGTTTAATGACAACAAAGATAGTATTTTTTAGTTTTATATTACTTTAAGGAAGTAATTAAAGGAGTAGTCCTCACCAATTATTGGGCCATGTAGGTTAGTTCAAACCTATTTTAGTCAATATCACCTTCTAGCGAGCAATTTTCTTCTGGATTCAATAGAATGACTTTCAGGATATGCTCTAAAGTCAAATTTTCCTGTCCCTAAGACTCCACTGCATGGGATTATGGTTCTTCTTTTGCAAGTTGCTTTAGCAGCAGTCTATTGAACAATTTGAAAAAACTGAATTCATTCATGAATTTCATTCATGTTCATTTCCAGACCAGAAATAACTAATCCTGGTTCTATACTTGCCATTAATATTCAATTCTGGTTTTGGGGGAAAAATCATTTCACTTCTCTTTGCCTGATAGTCATGAACCAAAAAGTTACAACAGAAGGTGTAGATGAATGTGATTTTCAAGGTAAATAGTCTTGAATTCCAAAAGGGTCTCAATAAATTATGTGAAATCACTGCTTGAAGGAAGTTGCTCCAGTAGAAATTGCTAATGGAGATGGCTGCATGTTTCACAATTCCATGGAAGTTTTTCTGCTCTATTAAAATCAGAAACATGCATCCCTCCAAAGCAAAAGAAACACTAATCTTAATCTGAAATTTTAATTAATTATTTACAGAGTTAACACTTGAATTAGTGTAAAAATTAATAAATACAAAATAAAGTAAATGCTTATTTTTTTACTTTAAGGAACCTTAGGATCACCTTAGCTCCCACACTGACCAGGAGCTTATTAAATTAGATTAAAATCTACCTCAAATAAAAATACTTCATTTCATGATTCACCAAACATTTACTGAATGCCTATTTTATTCCAGGTACCTGAAAGCAAAATCAGACAAAGCAGTACATGGTGCTAAGAGTTAGAAGCATGCACACAAATGGAGACATGCACAGGCTGTCATGAAGCACAGACAGGTAAAAGGGGGGCACATGGAGAGGTCCCCAAACACCTTCTGGAAGCATCAGTGCTAATAGCACCAAAAAATGATTAGGAAGTGGTTAGATAAAAGAGAGCAAAGCAGATGTGAAGTTTGCAAACAAAAGAGAACTCTCATGGAAAGGCAAAGAAGCTCTAAAGATCGTTTGTACTTGACCATCTATGTTTATGTAACTCAGCACCACTGCAGAATCTGCTGCAAAGAAGGGAACGAATAAGGAGTAAGAAAGCAACCTCGACCCATGCCGCTCAAGTATGCAACACACATGCCAGGAGCATCTGAGGACAGTGCTAAGAGGGGAGTAAGCTACTGGGGAGAAGGGGCAGGTACCAGTTTAGTTTGAAAAGGCCTCCCTTATTTCAGACATTCTCATACAGAACAAATGTCAACAATAGCTACTAAATGTTGAAGCAGAGACATGACACAAGGCAAGATTTTCGTCTTTGAAAGGGTACTTGATTTTACAATGGAGGATGAGCTCTGAGGTAAGAGGAATGAGAGGGTCCTGAGCGTGCTGCGCAGCCTAGGAAAGACTGGGTGGGCACTCCCACTGGAACAACCATGGCAGAACAGAGAGGAAGAGCTATGGTGGTTGCCTTAGAAGATTAAAAAAAAAAAAAGCTTAAGGAAAAAAAAAAGGCATGACCATGAGACTGACTGAATCTGAAGGCAGGAGAGTAGTTAGTTACAAGTGCCCAATTATAAAAATAAATAAATAAATAACATCCTAGATTTGACTGTTAAGTGCTCATTTGATGAGTACTTGTCCAAAAACAGTAGAGCCTCCACGATTAGCACTGCGTTTACTGAGGCAATAAGAATACTGGCTTCAGTCAGAGTTGATAATATGCAGGGTTTTAGGAATCATGGTCACAAACTAGATTTGTTCAGTTTTACTAAACCAGCATCCAATCGAAGGAGTCAATTTCTAGAAAAAAGAGAAAAGCAACTCTCAAAAACAATGTAAAACATTGGAGTTGAGGAAGATTTTCCATTTCACAGTTGAGATTCGATCCTCTTCTAGTCTCATCACTGGGCAGTCATGAGGTTAAATGCATGTTTTTGGCAGCACCCGCAGATACAATGACAGGCAAGATGCTGTTGTAATAGTTCTTAGAGGTGATAGTAAATATCCAGAAAGACAGCATTGATTGTATTTATTGATTTAGTGACTTTTAAAACTGCTTTTCCAAAAGAATAAATAAAAGCAAGAAATGGGGAATGAGACTAGGGAGAGGGGGAAATGAAAAGCTTAAGTCTACATGAAGTTTTCCTTTATATCCATGCATAACTGAGCTTTGCTATTGCATCTGGTGGGAGCATGGAGTAGCCAAGAATTAAGGAATTTCCTCTGCCAGGCCACTCCTGGTGTAGCCTTCTACTATTAGCAAATGCAAGAGGGATAACAGAACAGCAAATATCTTTCACTTAAAAGTCCAAAGAACTGAAGCACTGACACAGCCACGTTTTTTCTATATCTACTGGCAGGTTTCCCCAGCAATACCGGTTCTGAGCCATACGTTCATTACCTGCACAAACGTGAGTGCTGCTTTCTGTAGAAGACACTCGGCATAACAGATTTCAGCATGCATTTCCTCTATTGAAAACAAATAAGATTACATTAGGGAAAATCCCATGTTGTGGTAATTGCTCTGAGATGTTTAGAAAAGACTGGTAGATAAATAAGCCCAAGAGAGACACAAAAATCTAGTTGCTCTGGTGCTTCCATAAAAGTGACCAAGGAGCTCAGCTTTCAGACCCTCAGCAAGATTTTCCCAAAATGTGTGAAAATGTTCAGGAAGTCAACTTTGGCCCCATTCAAATATAACTGCCAAGAGTCAGGCATTAGGTGTCAGAGACCCAAAATTAGCTCATAAAAGGAACCCAAATGTTAAAAGTGATCTTAAAAAAAAAGAAAAAAGAAACCACTTATTTTTTTTAATTTTTAACTTAGTAATACCATGCAATCTTAGCAGTCATAAAGATTGACAAAAACAACTTAAATTCATGAATTCTGGCTTCAAAACTATGGAGGTATGTTAATCATGACAATGACGAGACATGTTATCATGAAAAGAGTAGCAGCTGTCTCAGAGTTCTTCATGCCCACACAGAGTCCACACACACAGGAGACTCCATGTTAAGAGAGTCAGCATCAGCACCAACCAAGGTATCTACCTAGCACAGGTGCAAGGCACTCACAAAGGCGGCTTTGGAAAGCTCTGTATGTGGCACACCCATGTGGCACGTCCCACAACACATAGCCTATCTTTTTACCTAACCTACCATAGCTGCAGAGGTTGGGGGAAGAGAGATCTATATATTTTTGTATAAACAAAATCAAGTTTCCTGATGTATCCATGGGATGCAAATTGGTATTATATTTAAGTAAATATCCTTGGATTATTTAATAGCCTGGGTTGGAGGCAAGGCTACTCATAGAATCTCAAGCAAATGACCCTAACTCTCTTTCCTGACTTCTTAATCTACAAAGACCTGCTAATGATGACTCTATTTCATAGTTGAAGAATGAAGTGAGGAGCTGCATGTGCCACTCATTATTCAGAGTAAGTACTTGATGTAAGTTAGTTCCCAGAACTAAGGTCACTCTCATGTCATACTTTTTGGTAAAAGCTCAGAAAGTACATTTTTATGTCAAGAAAGTGACTAATAAATAGGATATTTCTATGTTGTCAGGAATGCTGTTGAATCAAACTGATTAAGAATCAGTGCTTTATTTGACTTACACAAACAGAACCCCCATCCCACACACACACACACACACACACACACACATCCTCATAAAATGGTCTCCATCATTATCATTTTCCAAAGGTTGAATCTACAAAGACACAACTATGCAATTCCTGAAAGTAGTCAGAATAGCAGCCAAACCCACGACAGGCCACCTAAGGCATTACACATTCTGGCAGGATCAACAGCTAAAAGCTCAATCCTTGAAAACACCTCAGCTCAGAGTGTTTCTCTGGATGTTTCAGTGTGTTCGGGGGATCAAAAAGGATAACTTTTATCTTCACAGAGACACCTGAATATCCCCTTCTTTGGTCAATTTGTAAGAAGGTAAGAAACATTAATAATTATTCACATTGAAAACTTACTTGGTAGCACAACTTGCTTGGGCTTGTGCCAAAGGGAGAGGATGGCATGAGCAAAGGCACACAACAAGGAAAGTGCACAGCACCTGTGGGCCGGCACAAGGTGTGAAAGGAGAGGAGTGGGCATTTAGACCCAAGGCCAGTTGGGCCTAAATTATGGCCAGCCTCGAGTGTCGGAGTTGGGGCTTAACTCTGCAGGAAACAACAAATCCTGGAAGAGCTGAACGGAAGGGTGGGTAGGTGGGGCTTAAAGTTAAAGTTAGAGATGGACAATCTATATACAACAAATGGACCAAAAGGATGTCACAAGAAGGTAGAGAAAAAAAGCAAGAAAATTTCAACTCTGTCTTCCATATGTAAGTCTTCTTCATGTTAAATCTCTTTCACTTTCTGAGCACTGTATTTAATTATCTGTTTCTAAAGGCAATATGCCAAGCACATGAGAAGAAGAACGGGACTGTTTCATGTTAAACTCATGAAAAGTTTAATTAAATATACTCACTCCTCAGACAACCAGCCACTCAAGGATGTAAATGAAAATTACTAAGAGGGAAAACAAATCACATACCCAAGTTACAATGTTATGACATGCTTCCCTGAACACAAAATCTGTTTGGGTTGCAATGACAGCCAAACTCATTAGGAATAAAATGCAACTTAATTTATAAAAGTCTTATTTCTTCATTCTGGTTGATTTACATTAGGCAGTTCTTTGGTTCTCAAAATTAGTTGTATGGCATTTAAGAGTAAGTACCTATCAGAATGTTTCTTAATTATAAACTGCTTAGTCCACTCAAGGAAACAACATCATGATTGTAGTAAAATTTATCTATGTCTCTAAATATAAAAGTCAAAATAAGGCCGTATTTCAGAATAGGCTAGGGTCAGAATCTAATTTTCTTTTAAGACATTACTCTTTATGAACAATTTTAGCTTCATAGTAAACCTGAGCAGAAGGTACAGAAATTTCTTATATTCCCTTTCCCCCACACATGTACAGCTTTCCCCAGTGCCAACATTCCCCACCAGAGTGGTACATTTGTACAACTGATGGCAACAGATGAGTCATCATCATCCTGTGTCCATAATAGACATCAGGGTTCACTCTTAGTGTTGTATATTCTGCAAGTTTGAACAAATGCAGACTGATATGTACCTATCGTTAATCAGAATATTTTTCAATGCCCTAAAAGTTAACTGTTCTCTGCCTTTCTATCTCCTTCTCCAAACACATTCTCTCTGGCAGCTACTATTTTTTTTTACACTCCATAGTTTGGCCTTTTCTAAAAAGTCAAACAAGTAGAATCATACAGTATGTAGCCTTTGTAGACTGGCTGGTTTTTTTGTTTTTGTTTTTGTTCTTGTTCTTGTTTTTTTGCTTAGTAAAGGCTCTTCCCAGCTTCATGATTTGATGTTCTTTCCTTTTAGTGCAGAATAATATTTCATAGCTTTGACATACTGCAGTTAACTTATTCATCCACTTACTGAAGGCACTTGGCTTACCAATGTTAGTATTTTGTGCCTCCTATTCCAGAGAACAAGTTTGACCATAATAGCACAGACACAAAGTCTCCATAGATAGCAAAAGTTATAGTCTACCTCTGAAGGACATAATTTTCTCTTCTATAGGAATATCTGGATATTCCTTTTTTATAGTCATTCTGACAGAAATATAGCATATAAAAAAGCAAATCTGCCCTATCTTCAGTTGAAACATGAAGCAAATGACAGCATAAGTAGTTATTTTCTCCCAGCTTTCTGATAGGACACTTTCTGATAGTAGCCATTCCTGAATTGTTGACTACCCTCAAATATCCACAAACCAAACACTTCCATACTGAGTAACCATTTTTTCAAAGGTACCAGAATTATTTTATCTTGAGAGAAAATTATAGCATGTGAAACAACAGAAACTCTCATTGATGAGTGTTAAGAATATAAACTTACCTACTCTTTACAGAAAATATCAGTTGTAACTAAATATTTTCAATTTTCAAACCCTTAATTTCAGTAATTATGCTTTTAGGCCTTTGCCTTTGAGATAGTTGCAGAAATGCATGAACACATACTTAACAAGAATAGTAAGACAACATTATTTGTAATATGAAAAAATAAGACAGTAACTAATGTTAGCAACAATAGAGAGAAAACATGTAATTTATGAATTTCCCATATCAAAAAAAAAATTACACAGCTATTAAAAAGAATGAAGTACAGTTTATATGCATCCATATGGGGGGAAAATCACATTGTAGAATAATAGGTATAATGTGTAAAAAATGAACAACTATAACAATCCTATATGTGTCTTGCATTATGTTTGCATATGTAAAAAGAAAAGTCTGTAAGGCTTTGAAACCAAATATTAATAATGGTTGCTTCTAGAGGATGAGAATGCTGGGGAGAGAAAAATTCCACTTACTTTCTATCAAACACTTAAGTACTGGATTTTATGAGTATGGTCATATTTTAATTTTTCAAAGAAAGGGAAAAGTTCATCTTTCACATGGCTCTTACCTTCAGTCAGCTGTTCAAATGATCCTCTAGAAAGAAGACTTGAGAAAGTTTCCACAACTGTGCTTTTTTTTCTATATCTGCATAAAATAAGTAGAAGGGGAAATGGAAAAAATAACAATATTGCCAGACCAAGTCCATTGTTTACTTGACATTCATTTCAATCACAATTACACAATTAAGAGTCACTGAAGCATAGGTCTAAACCCTAAAGTCTGTAGGTCAAAGACAACCATCTTCAACACTACAAACTCAGCTGCTGAGTGCTGGACTGATATCCAGTGGACACTAAATCAGTGTTCACTGACCCCAAGTGAACAACCCCGTACAGACAGTGAACACTAGCCCTGTCAAGCACCTGTGTGGCTAAAATCATTATGAGTTAAGACAGGTGAAGAATGGGCTTGAAGTACAGTATTTGGAAAGTTCATTTGTAGAACTTCCAAAACAATTACATGAGGACATAATGTCATCAGTGTTGTATTCACCGATGCCAGTTAACAGCTTTTGTTCAGGTCTCCCTATATACACAGAGCAAAGATTAAAGTCAAAAGAGAGATCCAACTCATTTCACCAGCCAAGAATATTCAAATGTGTCCTTTTTAAACAAATAAAACCCTCCTTTCTAAATGTGCAGCATAAGAGATTATTCCTTGCTAGGTTTGGTTTAGCAGGTAGTTGAAAAGTTGAACTCATCCACCACAAGGAGATACTTAGAGATGCTTGCTGCTAGCCCCACTGAAATCTACCTCCACCTTTTTCGGTAGCTCAAGTTATCAAAGAGAAAGGTGGAAGGTAGAGAAGCTGAGGGTTTGGCCAGCTAAGTATCATATCACAACTCCTAGTAGGAAATTACTAACTCTATTACATAAAAGTACACAAAATACTCTAGCCCGACTTTTCCATAATGGGCACTTGAAACTGAGCTCTCAGTCAGCAAGCCACATTCATTTTGCTCAAAGATATAAAGGTTCATAATATCTCAAAAATCGACTCGGTTCCTACTTTTGGCAGGTTTGTAAGGCGTCCCTCATTGCAGAAATGCCATTTTGGATGTCCTGTTGCTCAAAGGTCATGACAGCCTGCAACACCACAATGGTACTGTAGCCCAAAGCGTGGTACATGCTCTCTTTAGCCCTGAGGATGACACAAGCAGTTAATACAATTCAATTGAACCAAAAAGCATGCAGATCTTGCCTGATCACAAGAAATCCTAGCAAGTGAATTCATGAATTTCACAGGAATAACCTTGACTTCATCATAATTACTGAAATAATAAGTACCATCAAAACATATCCTAAAAGCATCAAGGACTAAAGTTTAAAGTCTACACAAACAGCAAAATGTTGAAGCAGAAGCTGACAGGGACATGCTTTTCCTTGTTTGAGCACAAGGGGGCAGCCAGTGGATTTTATTTCCTAGGGAATATTTCAAAGCAAACCCATTTTTCCCAATTCAAAAAGCGGCAACACGCAGTCTTTAGCTCTGGAATAAGTGCTAAAATGAAGACCAATTCAAGTGCATTCTGTGAAAGAGAGATTCTGATATGTTTTTTGAAAGACAAACGCTCATTTAAAATATTCTCCTTTCGATCAGGAAAAAAAAAGAAGACAAAACTAGCAGGTAAGCTATAAATCAGACATTCAGTAGGGAGGAAGAGGGATTAAAACAGGGGAGGGAAGAGCACTAGCGTCTATGGTGATGGCTCATGGGTGTCTTGGTGGTGGGAATTTTATGGGAATCACATCTGAGAGGAGAAATCGAACATTGTACAAATATGAACAATGCAAAAAAATACATAAATAAAAAAATTTAAATAAACAAAATGAAACATTGTTCTTTCCTTTCCCAAAGGAGACCTAGAAGTAGCATTATTTTTGTATGAATTAGGTTGGTCATAAAAGTCCCTGGCAAAAGTTCAGCTTTGGGCTTCCTCTCTAATCTAAATCCATTAGCTGATAACTGATAATTCAAATTATCAAATTATCAATTGCTGTGGCATAATCTATGGTAGACATCCCAGATTCTCAGGCCATGAAAACCTCACTGTCTTCTCTCAAAACTTCCTAAATTATGCTAATTAGATAAGATTTAAAATACCAACAACTACTGGTTTTGCTGTTAATTCAAATGTAATCCCCTACAGCCTGTTGCTATGCAAAACAAAGGCAAGACATTATTCTTTCCCCCATGGAGACAGTCTAAACAACCTTTGGTAATCTGCAGGCTGTCCCTCCCCCACTCCAGAAAAAGAACTGCAAGGGGCCTTCTCTGGTGGCACGGCAGGTTAAAGCACTAAGAAGTTAAAGCCACTTCTGCATGAGTTCGATCCCTGCCACAAGGCGCCACACACCTCTCCCTGGCCAGCCCGCTGCTCCCCTCAGCAGTGTGTTTTGTCAATCAGCCTCTTCTGCTCCCCACTCTGTCTCTGACGAATCTTCTCACCGCCCCTGCACCTCTGGCCTGTACCCCAGTTCTGTATGCACAAATAAATAAATCTTAAAAAAAAAACTGCAAGGAAAGGGCATCTTTGGGTTAATTAGAAAGTGGTTAGAAACCTCACATTTTAAACTGAAAACGTCTCCAGACCAGAAAAAAAGATGTATGTTTGACAATGAAACATACATTAAGACCAGAATAAAAAACTTCAACGAAATATAATACTAATTAATGCCTTCTCATTCCATATTATGACTAGCTAGAGGTCAGTGTCAGAGAAAAAGAGAGATTTGTTTTAGTAAATATCAAAGGAGACAGGCAGTTTGAGGGAGGAGAGACAAGGAGAAAGGTAGAGAGAGGAAGACAGATGGTGATATAGACGGAAGATGGAAAGAGGGAAGTCTGAAGAACAGAATACTTGAGGGAAAAAGGCAGAAGACAGGCAAGGGGAAGTCGTGATCATAGGCTGGAGACAACACTGGACAATTTCCTGAGGTTATATGCTTCATCCACTTTACCATCTGTCCCTAACCTCTGAAATTGAATGGCTTGCAGCTCTTCTGAATCTTAATAGAATTTCTGCCCCTCAATTGCTCAGTAAGTCAATTAATCTCTAGTATTCATGGTCAATAATCAGAGTCACATCACCCTGCTGGCCACTTGATGGAGTGAGATTCTCACTTTTATGCCCAAGGAACCTTCTAGAAAATTATTATATGAAGTCTAAACTTCATTCAAGCAAGTGACTGGGTTGACGATCCTGTCTAAGACTATTCCTGCGAACACTCCTCTGTGGCAAAGAGTCTGTTACAAGATTCAACACTTCTTTCTCAGCAACATTGAAAGTGAGCACAACTGTGACACACAAGATGCATTTCATAACTTTGTGTGGCAGAGGAGATGATGATCTATTACAACACAAATGTTGATTGGTTAAATGTCTTAGACGGGTAGAAAATAACATTGAATATTTGAGTAGAAAAAAAAAAAAGAGATTACTCCTGTGACACTACAGTCACTGTAGAGTTGGGACTATGGTAAAAGTGAGTTCAAGGGCCCTCCCTGGTGGCTAAGCGGGGTAAAGCACAGCACTGCAAGCTAGCTGCAGCCACTTCAGTGTGAGTTTGATCCCCTGCCCTGGAGGTGACCACATGGCATGGCAGAGCTGTCCTGACCCGCCCAATGCTCCCCTCAGTGGTGTGCTTCATCGATCTGCCTGTTCTGCTCTCACACTGTTTTGGTGAATCCTCTCACTGCCCGTGAACCTCTAGCCTATAACCCAGTTCTGTATGCATAAATAAATAAATCTTAAAAAGGAAAAAAAAAAATGGGTATCTTTTAAAAAAAAAAAAAAGTGAGTTCAGGGTTTGCTGCCACATTTTAAAAATTAACCAAATTGAAATCAGACAGTTTAATGCCACTATCACATAAATGAGGAGTCCCGTAATATTTCTATTACCTTAAATTTCTTTTATCATTTGAGATGAGCATATTGTAGTTCTTCCCTTCCCATTTCACAGGAAACCTTTTTCAGTGATAATTAAGCTTAAGAGTACTACCCATAAAAAGTATTTCACTGAAGAAAGCAAATTGAAGCCTCAAAAACTACAGCATAAAAATGAAAAGATGAGAATCAAATGTTTTATTAATTACATTTGAAAAGACAGATTTCTTAGTCGGATATTAAAATTGGTCAACAGTTAGGGGTCTCAATCCAATTTACTTTTATTTAGGTAGAAATGCAGAAAAACTGACAAATGTGACAATGTCTCTCTTGAAGGGGAGTAGAATATGTTACCACAAAGCATGCCATATGCAAAACATTTGGTATGTGAGTGATTTTGCATTAAAGCTATGTAAGAAACAGCCAGTGCAAGAAGGATCCTGAGTCTCCTTTATCCCCTGAAAGGAAGAAATCAATCTCCCTGGTAAAAGAGCTACGATAGACACCTGATCACCAGAGATAGGGAACTTAAGGCCTAGGAGACTAGGAGACAAACCCTTCTAATTATTCATTATTGTACTATCCCAGCTACAGAGACGCCTCCACAAAATGGGAGGTACATTTTTCCTGTTCCTATTTCATGTGACCTGGAGCTGAGCAACTGGTGAAGCTCTCTAACACAGAAGGCAGGTGGGTTCCACCAAAAAAGAATGGGGAGAAATTTTCTTTCTATAGCCTGACTTATACATGTAGTACCTTGGCACTGCTGGAGAAGCAGGAGAGACATGTAGAGACACTTGAAGTGACACGTGGGTGACAGACCCTTGGGGAAGCTGACAATGGCAGCATTGTTCTGAGGTGGTATCTTCTTCTGCCCCAGGTTTCTGGTACCAACTTCAGAACCCCTTTCCTATGGTTCCCTGTCAGAAGGTGGCTTAAAAGTTGTCACAAAGCTTCAGGTCCCAATAAGCCGCATTTGGGGCCAACACTGGCTGGGTATTTGCCTACAAGAGGATAGGTAACTTTGGGTGTTCTGTTAGGAAATCATCATCTCTTCTCTTCTTTCTCTATGCATGCTAATTCCAATAAAGTTCTTGTATGCAAAGAATCCACTTTGCCTTTGTGTGCACAGAAAGCCAGAGCCCTTTAGAGTATGCAAATCAGGGAGGGGGATCCCAAGAGATCCCATGATTGTATGCTAACATCCCAAGCCCAAATATCTTTGTTTTATCAGTTGTTTGTTTTAAAGATTTATTTATTTATGCATACAAGAACCCCATGGGGCACAAGCCAGAGGTGCAGGAGTGGGGGTGAGAGGATTCACCAGAGACAGAGCAGGGAACACAACAGGCAGTACACAGCTGAAGGGAGCAGCAGGTAAGACAGGAGAGGTCTGCTGCACCATGTGGGTCACCACTGTGGCTACAGGTAGCTTCATAGTGCTGTGCTTTAACCCCTTGGGCCAACAGGGAGACCCTGTCTTATCAATTCTTCACAAATTTATCTTTGTCTCAATGGTATAAAAGTTGTCCACTTGGGCCCTCCCTGGTGGCTCAGCGGGTTAAAGCACAGCACTGAGAATCTAAAGCCACTTCCGCATGAGTTCGATTCCCGCCTGCCCTGGAGATGACCACATGGCATGGCAGACCTCTCCTGACCCGCCCGCTGCTCCCCTCAGCAGTGTACTTCGTCGATCTGCCTGTTCTGCTCCCCACTCTGGTGAATCCTCTCATCCTCTGCATCTCTGGCCTGTACCCCAGTTCTGTATGTACAAATAAATAAATCTTTAAAAAAAAAAAAGTTGTCCACTTGGGTCATATCTTTGGGTTTCATATCTCCGGGGATCCTTATGTATGAAATTAAATTTGTATTTCTCCTGCCAATCTATTAACCTGTCTTATGTCAATTTAATTATTAGACATTGAAAGGACCTAGAAGAGAAAAGGAGTGTTTTCCTCCCCTACAATACCAAAGACAAAACATCTGAAAAAATATATTTAATATAAAATAAATAAAAATGGATTACCATGGTCGAAGCAGTTCTAAGGCATCTGTAAACTTGTTACTAAGAAATAAATTCAATGCCACTGCACATTCTTCTAGGCCACTCTTGAGATCCACCTTACTTGATGGCGATCTGAAGATAAAGAAAAACAATTTAGAGAATTTATATAGCTTTCATTGTTAGCAACTTCTCACAAGACAAGAGGGGGGTAAGAAAGAAAGAACAAAAGAGAGAGACAGACAGACACTCTTTGTTTGGAGACAGGACTGGAGAGATTATGAACTCTGCCACTTAATCTCTGGATTAAATCCTTAACCTCCTGGGTTATGACTTTCCTACCTATAATTTACCTTTCTTACCTGTAAGTTGGGGATATCACCACCTACTTCATGACAAAAAAATGCTCCCAGCAGTGACCAAATAAACATGTACTCCAAAAACCAGAGATGTAAGAATTGCTTTTATTCAAAACAAAGTTATTTTGTTTTATTCAGATTACCTAAGAGAAATGTATTTTAGTGGAAAACTGTTTTCCCCCTCTGTGTTACCTAATTTTGACTCTATGGGAACTACTGCACATATAATATAAACTGTATATACCTATAAACTGTAAGTAAATGACAACAATACAAAATAATGTAAATACAATAATGTAAATACAAAAACCTGTAAATTCTGTCCTGATCAGTAGAGGTTCAGTTAGCTCCTTCACATTGGAAGAAGTTGGTTTGAGCTCATTTTGCTAACTTATTTTAACCATTCCTTTTCTGCATATAAATTTGTGCTGCTTTGACTTTTCCTGTGAATCTATTATAACATCTTTCCCTCCTTAATTAACAAAATAACATGTTCATTTATATCTGTACAGTCTGTAATTTAACTTTTTGAAAAATATCTGTTAATTATTTATGAATAACTGGAATTTTTTCTCTTTAAAACTAGAGTCAGACTCACCCTGGTATTATAACGGGTTAAAGCACCACTTTATGAAGTTCTCCAAAGCCACTGCAGTACGAGTTCAATCCCCCAGCCAAGGAACTGACCCTTATGGCGTGGCAGACCTCTCCTGGCCCGACCACTACTCCCCTCAGCAGTGTACTTTGTCAGTCTGCCTGTTCTGCTCCTCACTCTGTCTCTGGCAAATCCTCTCACCCACCACACCTCTGGCCTGTACCCCAGTTCTGTAAACATAAATAAATAAATCTTTAAAAAAAAAAATAAAACTAGAGTCACTTCTAAGATGGTTTAACAATGTTAAATGGGAAAACAATTTGTGAACAGTATAATGATTATTTTAAAGAATTTGAAGTTGAATGTCCTTGCCACCAACATGTCTGAATTCATTCTTCAAGCATGAGGAATAAAGTCCCACTTCAGTTACTCATCAGCCAGAAACAGGTTCTGAATTATTACATGGAAATACCTTCAGCCCCCACAGCTGGTTCCTTCTGATTCAGATCTCCACTCAAAAAGCACCAGCACAGAGTTGCCTGGATGACCCCACCCCTTCCTGTCTCACTGTTTTGTTTGTGCCATAGTTCTTATTACCACCCAAAGTATCTTGTGCCAGTATCTGTGGACATGTTTGTCTCGCTGTGTCTTTTCTCTCCTGGATATAAATACCAGGAATTATTTAGCCACTGCTGTACCATCAGGGCCTGCAAGCGGTACCTAGAACATACTAAAAAAATACTGTTGGGTATGTGGGTGGGTAGAACTGCTCTGCTTAGAGAGAGAACTCCTCAGGTCTAGGGTTTAAAGGCATCTCTCCTCTAGAAACAGGACCAGTTCTTGGTGGCAGAATGGTTAGAGGATGTGTGATGGTACATTTGATGTGTCAATGTGACAGAGCTAAATGATAACCACATACTGGCAAAACAGTATTTTTAGGTTTCCTGAGTTGAAGTGAGAAAAGCAGACAGCTTTCCCCACTGTGGGTGGACATCAGCCAATCCTGTGAGGGGCCAGAATAAACAAAAAGCAGAGGAAGGGTGAAATCATGCTCTCTGTCCAAGGTGAAACAGCCATTTTTTGCCCTCTTGTGCTCTTGTTCCTCATGTCTTCAGACTCAGATGGAATTCACTCCAACTTTTCTGGTTCTCCAACTTGCAGACAGCAGATCATGGAATTTCCTAGCCTCTACAATCACATGAGTCAATTCCTACAATAAATCTCATATGCATATCTTATTAAAATCCTGTATATCTGGAAAACTCCCACATACAGAAATGTATTGTCCTTAAGCTCTCAGTGGATAAAGAGGTCAAACAAGACTGCAAGGCATTCACAAACTTTTCACAGAAATATTTTTCCTAAGAAGTTTCTTGATACCTCTCCTATCAGTTCATCACCAACTTTTGTCAGTGTCACTTCCTGAACACCTTTTGAATGTATACTAGTTTCATCTCTATTACCCAGTCCCTGTTAGCTGTCACTCGCTTCCTGGGGTCTACAGATACATGTCTCTACCCAACTGCTACCCCCTTCCCCCAAAATCTTTACTTAAAATCCAGCCAACAAATATTTAGGTCGTATACCATGCACCCTTCCAGGTCCTGGGGATACAGCAGTGAGCAAGACATACAGGATTCTGAGGTCTTCAGATTTTCATTCTCAGGGGAGAGAAGGCAAGCTTAAACAAGGAGAGAAGTACTAAGATCATCTCAGACTGGAACAAGTAGTCTGGGAGGGAAACTGGTTTGGGAGGTTGAAGATGAGGCTCAACATTAATGAAGACGGTCATGGAAAAGGTTCCAAAGGGTGACACCCAAGTACTACAAAACTAGGCAGCCATGGGAGTAGCTAGGCTGCTGGGAGAGGTGAAGATTCTAAACTGGGAATGAAGATTCTAAACTGGTGAACAAGGCAGTCTGGGGGAAAATGAGGAGAGAAAGCAGGCAGAAACCAGAAATCTAGAGACAAGAGTGGGTGGGAGGAGCTTATTCTAGAACAAAAAAAAAAAATACCCACTCAATGGGGTCAAAAACAGGGGGGTGGGGAGGGAAATGCAAGGGATTATGGTGATGACACACGGGTGACTTGGTGATGGGAAACCCACGGGGATTACAATTGAGATGGAAAAAAAGAAAAGTACAAAATGATGTAAAAATAAACTTTTGTAAAATAATAAAAAAAATACCCACTCAACAATCCCCACTCCTGTTCTCATCACCCATTCCCTTTACTATCAGGTTTTCCAAGTGTACTTCGCACCTGTTCTCCTCATCTGAACTCCCATAAGTTCTCTCAGGTCACAACCCAGCCTTTATTACCAGGAAATGGGCTGTGGACAGACACTGGTCCCCTCACCAAACAAACAACCACCTCTGCATCTCAGCTGGCCACACCGACACCTGGCGGATACACACACAGGAGCCCAGCACCTCCAAACACAGCAGTCTCAACCCTTCTAAGTGGCAAGTTAAGATGTTCACATGGAATGAAAACCCCTCCAGAATATTGGCTCTGCCATGCATTCTGCAAGGAATGCCCAAGATAGCAACCTTACTCTCAACCAGGATTTCTCAGACATTTCTGAGGTCACTGGCTTCCACAGCCATTCATAATAATGAGGCTCTTATCACAGCAAGTCTGAATTTTGAAAGACTCCAAGAATACCTTCTTCCTATTACTACTTTCAGTCAGAGACCTGAAACTTCAGAGTATGTTAGACTCACCTGTGGGGATTGACAAGACACTTCTGGTCTCCATCTCCAGAATTTATGGCTAAGTAGAACTGGGGTGGGCCCCACACCTTCCCAGATGGTCCTAATTCTGTCTTAATTCATCCTGGATGTAATGTTCAGGCTTCTGTTTCTAAAATGGGTATTTATCACACTATTTCTTCAGACTAAGGGCATAAAATGACTGCCCACCCTTGCAAAAAGAAGTTCAATCTCTTCTGTCTGTTTTAAAGCTCTAGAAAGTTGGTCACATCACCACACCTGTCCAACTAGACTGGAAGGATGAGCTATTATAAAAATAGTCAAGTATCTTGCAAGAGTATTATCAACATGGCATCTTCCTCAAGTCTAGAATGATGTAATAAAAAGGCCCTGGGGGCCCTCCCTGGTGGCACAACAGGTTAAAGTACAGCACTACGAAGCTAGCAACAGCCACTGCAGCACAAGTTCAATACCCAGCCAGGGAGCTGAACTACATAGTGCAACAAACCTCCTGTTTTGCCCACTGCTCCCCTCAGCAGTATACTTCATTAATCAGTCTGTTCTACTCCCCACTCTGTCTCTGGCGAACCCTTTCACTGCCCCGAGCCTCTGGCCTGTACCCCAGTTCGGTATGCATAAGTAAATAAGTCTTTTTAAAAAAGGTATAGGAATAGGTTCCTGAAGCTTAAAAAAATAAATAAATAAAAAGGCAACTAGACTAGAAATCAGAAGTCGTGATTGCCATTCACCAGCCATATGACCTACAGAAAGTCACTTAACCACCCTGGGCCCACTATCTCATCTTTGCAAAGTTCCCTGTGATGCTGTAATTTAAACTAAGTATATAATCATCTTTAACCTCCTAGCACAGAGCTCCTAAAACTCTTGAAATTTCTAAAGCAATGAGAGCCATCTTCTTAATGAGGTGGTTTCTGGATCATACCTAAGAATGAAGTCCGGTTGCCAAACCAATGATTGTGGAGTGGAAATTTTCAGTCCCACACCCACTCCTGACCTCCTGCCCTGAAGGGCAAAGGGTCTTCAGATTGACTCACTCACCAACAGTCAGTGATTTAATCAAGGATGCCTCTGTAATGAAGCCTCCATAAACATCCTGTAAGAGGGATTGAGAGTGTCTGGGTGGGTGAATGTGTGGAGATGCAGGAAGAGGGGCACACCAGGGAGGGCAGGAACCTTGACACACTCCCCTCGGAGCTTGCCTGAGGAGAATCTGTCATCTGGCTGTTCCTCAGTGATAGCCTTTTATAGCAAACTGATAATCTAGTAAGCAAAATGTTTTCCTGAGTACTGTCAACTGCTCTAGCAATTAATCAAAACCAAGGAACTTCGTGAAAGTGCTCAGAACGGGGCTTCCCTAACGCGCCACTGTCATGTGTAAGGGCGGCTGAGGCTCTGTAGGTGCAGGAAGAACATGTATCACTCCCTTAACACCTGGGAGAATGAAAATAAGAGTATTACCTAGATTCAGGGTTCACTCCAAAAGTAACCTTTCTATCAGAGAAACCTATCTAGATGGCAAGACCAACATGTAATAACAGAACATCTGGTCCCTTCATCAGTCATAAGTCGCCCCCTCCTCTTTCCTGATGCTCCAAGCACCTCTCCCATTCCTTAAATCAGGAGAGCGATAGCCTCATTATCTGTGTAGATTCCTCATACTAAATAATTAAATTTATATTTTTCTCCTGCTGATCTGTCTGATACTGTTTTGCTCAACAAGTCCTGGAAGAACCTGAAAGGGGAACAGGGTAATTTTCCCTCTGCCCCTACACTCCAATATATATTGATTGCTGTTGGAACAGAAGCACACATAATAATCTGGCTATTGAAAGGGGAAAGGGACAGTTTGGTAGGACTAAGCCCTGAATCTGTGGGATCTGATGAAATCTACTAGTAGATAAAGTCAACTGAGTTAATTGCTTGGTGATATGGAAAAAACACATCAGAATTGATGTTCATCAAGCACTCCCATTTCACAATGTATGCAAGAGAAACAAAGGCAATGGTTGCTATGCATGTGCTGTGTGAACTTTCAAGTCCTATGCAAATTAAAATCATGTCATTATACAAAAGTTTGAACATTTCAGTCCATCCCACAGGATTACACAAATATTCTTGATATGTTAGAACCCTACTTGCATGCCTTTCTTAATATATATCTTCAATAAAATGAAAATTCTTTCTCCCCGTTTCTAATTTAGATGATATGTTCAGATAAAGGCTGAAAGAATAGCTGTTTCTGTCTTTTTCAGGGACCAAGGATCCTCTCTGCCTTAAAAGTAACAATTTCCCATATATATAAATTGCACTGAAATTGTGGCCCTAGAAAGCTAAATCTCAGATTCCCATGGCCATTTTCAGTTATTTACCTGGCAGTGTTGTTTCTGCCCTCTGAGAATTCAAAATTTATATTAACTTACACTGGATAGAGAGAATCTGTGACTAGCTAGCTCTCTTTGCATTCCTCCCGTGGGAGAAAAGTTACCATATTAGAAAAAGTGGGCAAATATGTCTAGTCCATTAGAGAGGGAAAGAAGGTACACAATCTCTTTCCTCTATCATGCAGTGAGCTGACAGCAAAAGGACCTGCCCTACCACCATCCTCACACAGGAAGTACATTTTCCTTACTTCCCCACCACCTATTCATTTTCAACCACCACATCTTGGTTCCTGCCCCAATTTCCTTGAAACCCTCCAAGCTAAAAGACTACAAGACACAAATACTTACTCTTCAGCCTATTGCATGCAGTCTTTTTGCAACACCTAGCCCACAACCTGATTGCCAGTCTGCAGCTATCATCTCTTTGAGTCTTCCTCTCTCATACTTCTCCACAGCTCTTACTTGAACTCTCATTCCCTAGGCCATTCCTTCACTGTCTCCTGTCCCCCAAAAGGTTCTTCTTCTATTCTCTTCTCATTGCTTTGCTCTCTCTTGGAACTAGCACTTGTAGTACATGACCAACAACTTCACATATGCGGAAGATTCCCAGGTCACATATCCAACCCAGTGTTTCTCTGAAAGCCACACCCTTTATTTACTACTGCTTTTGGTAGTATCTTTTTCTTTCTTTTATTCTACCTTTGAAGTTCAGCATTATAAAGGTTGATGCAGTAGTTAGCTAGGGAACTATCCAATCAGAGAACAACTGTAAGAGAGGAACACTATTTCTGAACAAAGTACAGATTTCCAGAGACATATTGAATAAAAAAAGTAATGTGGAAAATAAATCTCTAAATATCATTAAAAGACATTTTCAACTCCATCTCCATTCCTCAGTTCCTATAACGTTGCACCTCCTCAGTATGTGAGGGCTGAGTCATAAGACAAACTGCCAAGTCCATGAGTATTGTGAACGGAGGAGTAAATAGCTGAAATTTCAAATGCAAAAATGAAAATGCTGCAGATAAAAGTTTAATACATCTGTGAAGACAGATGGAAAGCGCTGTCTCATGGTACTAAGACGTCTCTAACATAGGTGAGTTAATAACCAATAAAGGAGCAACCTACACATCAAAGAGAATCCACCAGCAAAAGTAGTTTTAGAAATGATGGAAAGTATTTAGCAATTGCATTATAATAAATTATAATAAAAATATGTAATGGAAAGGGAAAGTGATATATTAAGCTTTAAAAAGTAGGTTATGAAATAGTTTACTTAATGTCCCAAATAAGTAAAATAAGTTAGTATCTATGTATGCAAACAGAAACCAGAAGGATGCAAACCAAAAAGTTGGGTATAGGGATAGTTAGATGTGTTACTCTCTCCTTTATGCTTTCCTTCATTTCCTGAATTTTCTACAATGAAGGTTTCGTAAATGTATTTCTATGCCAAGGTTATGAGAAGAAAAGAGGTAGAAATCCTTCAATAAATAATTATAATACCGAATGAAAGACCTCTGGTTCTATACAGATCCACAGCAAGAAACACAAGCCAGGGGAAACAACAACATCCTAACAGTCTGTGTTCAACTATCTTAATTATGGTTGATGTTTCTTCTTTCGTCTCATGTTAGGCAATATGGTTATATTATTTCATCATAATATTGTTTACAATTTTTAAGATAAAAAGAGACTCCAAAGAAAGGTGTGCCAAAATGTCACATTGAGCTTCTTTCACTTTTATGTAACAATGGCATCGAGTCACTGAGTCTGTAAGCAGCTCAGAGAATCCTTCCCTAATTGCTAAAATGGACATTAAACCAGCCTGGGCATCTCCTCACCCCAAGGGTTAGTAAAACACAAACCCTTATTCTAACATCAACAATGCAATTCACTGTTGGACTGTTGCACTGTTCTCCCCCGCCTCCCCCCAACCCAAGCAAGGGTCACACCCCCTTCCTGACCTGTTCACATTAGCTGTTCCATGCTGTCCAGAAGCTGGTTTTGTATCCCGGGATGCCAAATGATGGCTGCTTGTTGCCATAACTGTTCGAGACCTATAAATTAAATAGACAGAGGGAAGTTTTTTTATTATTATTGTTTGTTTGTTTGTGCCTTTTAGGAAAAAGCTACAAATTATACATACACAATACAAATCCTTTAATAATTTGTACACCTCACTTCCACTTCTGATCATTTTGAAAATCAAGTACCAAAAATCTACTCAGTTACAACATTCCCAAATTACAGCTCACATAAAATAGTTTTTCCTTTTATTGTAGTACACACCAAAAAAATTGAAATTGCCCCACAGTTCCCCATCCAAAGTTAGATTAGTCTAATCCACTTCTTTTGCATGTAAATCTACATGTTTTATATCAATAAAAATGGAGCATGATTGCAGAGGAAGAAAACTCAGCCTTCTCAGGCTCTCTATCTGGGTATAAAAATTAAACTGACAAAAACAGATTATCAGACAAAAGCAGAGAGTTGACATACCACATCTATAATGGTAAGCTCTATTAAGTTCTGCTAAAACCTTGTGTTAGACATGTTGTACTAGAAATGTATCATTCATTTACCGCAAGAATCTATTTTCTTGTCTTCCATGAGATGTTCCAAATATATGTAAAGCCTATATCCTATAAAAATAATATGGTAACTTGCAGATTTTACCTATTGATAGAAAATATGCAAATAATTTTCCAGGTGGGGTTATGGTTTTACTATGCTGTCAGAGATGAACCTGATTTGTGTTTCCACAAATCTCATTTGAATATTCTCCCCAGATGTTCTTGGAGCCAGTTTTACCATTTTGCTGATTTCTTCACTGATGCATAAATCTTTGAGATGTACACATTTTCTAACTATTATACTTTGAAGGGCTCAGTAATACTGCAGCCTTTAACACAGAGCAAGTTTCCAAATACAGTCATGCATCAGTTACTGACATTCTGCCAAAGGCAGACCACATATACAAAGGTGGTCCTGATAAGCTACACTAATATTCCAGGTAGGTAGAAGCTATACCATCTAGGTTTGTATAGTCACACACTGTGATGTTTGCTCCATGATGAAATCACCTAACCACACATTTCTCAAAACGTGCTCTATGATTAAGTGACATGACGAGGCACAGATGTTCCCAGGCAAATTCTGCTTCCACTCACATATATGCCCACCTTTAGCACAGTACTAGAATTTTCATCATCATGGCTTTCTTATACTCTAAATACCAGTGTAGCAAGTCCTCTTTAAGGCTCTTTTGAGGGATAAGATGGGCCGCTATTTTTGCAGCTTCATTCTGATTTATGAATTTGGAGATCAGTTATTGTAAAAAGTTACAGGGAAAGTCCTGCTGGAGTTTTCACTGGGACTTCATTACTTATTTAGAGAAATCTTATCTTTAGCGTACTCTAGTTTCACATTTATACACATTTATTCAGGCCTCAGTTCCTTCAATAAAGGTTTTTTTTATATATGGAGCACTGCCCTGAAGTATATGCATACTTGTATAGAAGCCCATGCTAAATGCTCCTTACCTTGCTTCGGTCTTAGAATCTGACCACCAAAGCAAGCACAGTTACTAAACCGTTAGCTGATTAGAATGACTTGCTGACTCTACTCTTGAACATGGCCTAAATGTCATACTCAGATGTTAGAGGAAATATATTTTTATCTAGAGAAAAATATTGTTATTGACTTATAGCACATGAGGAAAAAACATATTTTAGTCACAAGTTATTAGTATGTCAGAATGAGTCCTTTTTGCCCTGCTTTTATGGCTCTCTAAGTTTTTAACAAGTTTTATTGAGATATAATTCATAAAATTAGTGGTTTTTAGTATATGTGTAGAAGTGTGCTACTATTACCATGATCTAATTTTGCAATATTTTGTCACCTGAAAGAGACTCTGTATTTACACACTAGCCACCCAACCCCATCTTCCCCTCTACCTCTAGTCCTAGGCAACCACTACCCTACTTTCTGTATCTACAGATTTCCCTATTCTGCATGTTTCATATTAACATAGTCATACAACCTGTGGATTTTCATGAACTGCTTTTTTCTCAATGATTCAGCATGCTTTTTAAAGAATTATTCACATTGTTGTATGTCTCAGTACTTTGTTCCTTTTTATTGCAAAGTAATATTTTATTGTGTGGATATATATTTTATCATTTCATTCATTAATGGCTATGTAGATTATTCCCACATCTTCTTACCATTCTGGTCCTATTCCTTTAGAGGAAGATTTATAGAGCTGAAAATGGCCAAAGAACAAGAACCAACAAAGATTTGAAATTATTCTAATATGTAAGACACTGCTGAATTGACAAACTATGTAATCTATTCATATATCACCTATGCTTAGAATTTTAACAAAATACCCTCAATCAAAACTATAAACCTTGATATTACCTATACAGCTTGGGTGATTTGTATCTTTCTGGTTTTCTATGTTCTGTTTAAATTTTCAAAAATGATTGTGTATTACTTTAATAACCAGGAAAAAGTTAAGTATATATTTTGAGCAATTTAAGTTCAATTTGTGAAAGAAATATACAAATATTAAAGGAGATACCCTCTAATTGCTCCTTTTATATCATGCAAGGCTTTACAAATTTCTCAAAATATGCAATAACAGTATATTATTTTTATGCCATTTCAAATGAAGAAACCAGATATATCACCAGCCAGTTTGTTTATGGCATAATTTTAGAACTCTTCCAAATTTTTACTACTTTGGAAAAAAATCAGTATTTAAATGGTGTGGGGTTTATTTGTGAACTTTTTCCATCCTCTTTCCTACATTGATAACATGCTTCAGTGCTGGTTTAAGTTTTGAAACTAAAACAATTCTAATACTATATTCCCAAATTGCTTTGAAACTGATTACTTTGTATATACATTTATGGTCTTGACCTGATTTTTAATGTTATCTACCTTTGCTGAAAATGAATTATGATATTTCTATTGGAGGGAATTGGCTAGGAAGCTTGAGGGGTTTGGGGGGAGGGAGGCAATCAGTTTGCACTATACCTGCACTCTCTTTACCAGTCTCATTTCCATCTTTGGCAGAGCACAGAACCCATGTGCATGTCAGCAAGCTATCAGCTGTCTCTCTTTGTTCTACCTGCAGGATGGGAAATAATCTGCCTAGTAAAACAGATGGACTTATAATGATGTGAACAATTTCATGCAAAAGGTACTTCCCTTTATCCTGTCAAATTCTATATTTTTATCAGAAACTGGGATTTAAAAAAAAGAAAAGCAAGCTAACCAACTCTGTAGGAAAAAAAATACAACCAGGAAAGATAGTATAGAAAGAACTATAATCTAAATGAACTTCTGAAATTTAGAAAAATTTAAATTTCCACTTGTAAACAAGCAGGAACACTATATTCTAGGCATAATCATCTGCTAGATATACAAACAACTATAGTTCCTGTTCTTAATGACATCTAAGTGAGAACACATATTTAAGTCCTTGATTTGGGATCAAAATTCCAACTGAGAAAATAGTGCATAAAATATGTTACTTGCAACATGGTAGTGAAAAATTGTGAATTATTTCAAAGTGAATTTATGAACATGACAAGATATAAACCCTGTACAACTTCAGCTATGTTAAAAGCAGCATGGTATCTAGAAAGTGGAAAATAAAAGTCTAGCTTAAATTTCTTTTTTTTTTTAAGAGATTCATTTATGCATTAAAAAACTAGGGTCCAGCGGCTCAGCTCAGTGAGGGGAGCCCAGGCTGCAGAAAGACTGCAAATCTGATCCTCAATACCTGGGTGAGAAAAAAACCGCTGAAACTGCAGAC